TATTGATAAAGTGCATTGCATGTACCAACACTCCTCTGGATGCCCCCGGGAGAGCTGTGCATCTAATCAATGTGTCAGGGTCTAGTAATAAAGACCAGCACAGAACGCACATCATTGACACAAATTCATAAATGGGTTCACCTCGTTCCCGTCCGTGCCTCTCCCTCGCCCAATCTTCGTGGGCATCACCCCGAACCTCGCTGTTCACCTTCTTCTCTCCCACTCTCCCGCCGTCTAACCTGCTGGAAATTGTGTTTTGTTTGCGGCGTCAAGTGCTCTGAATCTTGCCCATCAGTGCCAGTTCTCCTCATCTGAAACTTGGATCTACGCTACAATGTCGCGCAGCGTTGTGGTATCTCCTGCTTCCGGGCTGAACTTCGTTCGTGATGGACCGTCGACGTTGACGGTTACCATTCGGAACAAGAATATAGAGGCAGTTGCTTTCAAAATACAGACTTCGGCTCAAAGCGTCGGTATCTCCTTGCCATCGTTACTGAATGTACTCACTGCGCATTAGTCTTATTACGTCCGTCCAAATAAGGGCATTCTCGAACCCAAGCGGTCTATCGACGTGTCCGGTACGTTTGCCACCCTCAAGTAGAAATTCCGTCAACTAATTGTCAATGACGTGCAGTAACATTCCATGGATTGACTCAGTCACCCGCAGCAGACGGACGTGAAGATAGATTTGCAGTGCTTAGTATGCTCATAACGCCAGACAAGGAAAACATAGCTCTCGACGACCTCGTAAGTCTCATGAATTTCCCAGTCTACTAAACCTATGAGTGCTCACAATGATGCTATCAAGTGGCACGTATATCCAACTCAAATTCGTCGAAGGCTTTTCGTCTCGACCTACTACACGCATGGCCACGAGCGGGTCAAAGGTTCAGCCATGAAGAAGGAAAAGCAGGAGCGAGTCCGGAGAATAATTGCGAACCCTGTGAGAGTCCCTTAAATTCATCATTTGGACATTTCTGATAGTTTTCCTCTTTTCATCAGAGTGATACTCGTTCGAGTCGAGACAGCACTGACTCACGAATGCATACCGCAGAGCAACCGCCCAGTCTTCCAGTAGAGCCTCCGAACAATGATGCCACCACCCCTTCACTCACTCGGATGCATAACATCACGAGTGACAGCCTCCGCTCTTTGGACAGTCGTACGCCTGCACCGCCATACGAAGCTGTGCACAACGATGATACTCTCAATGAACCCTCCAGCCCGGCACCTCATTATAGTCCCCCGACAGTATCCGTTGAACCGCGTCGCGCTAGTGTCAGTGGGGACAGGCTCTCTCCAAGCATTCGTCCTCTTCCTCCGGTCCCTCTCAGAAGATCGTCGTATCCACCTCGTAGCACTTCACCCAATACTGAAGCATTGATCACGGAATTGGTTACGGTCTTTGACGAAACATTCGCGAATATTCAAAGATTGAAATTTGTTTTGGATTCCATTCCGTCTTCACTCTTGGATAGCAGGCCTTATTTGAGACCCTATGTCGCTCGAGCGCAGGGTAGGGTCTCAGAAGCTCGTGTCTGATGTTCATTTCGCCCACGCTATGTCATTGATGCTTCCACGCCATGAACAGCTCGTCTTATAGACCCATTTTCATGAGCGTCGCCTCCAGTCCATTCGTCATTTATCATTATTCTTTCCTTGACTTTATGGTTGTTTCCTGTTATTCGACGGTTCACAGGTGGACTGTCAATTTATATAGTAGACGCGGGTTGATCTTTCGTCCGCCCTTTGTTTGTTCCTGTCAGAAGGGCTCTTAAAACCAGACGGATTCGCTATTGCATTATTTGTACAGACCTTTACTGTTGTATTTGATGCTGTGTTTACTAGTATAGTTATCACTCCTCGGAAGTATGATGTATACTCCACCTCAGTGAGCATATGCTCGTGCGTGCTTGCCACACCTCCGGGGAAATCCGCCTGCTGATCTTGGTCCAAGTCTTGGTCGTTACTGAACTCTCGGCGCTAGGTTTGCACCCATTGATTGTCGCCACTCTTTGAGAACTAACATGACGGCTAGGCTCTCGTATCTCAATGTATAGCGAATCTATCAAGCGTAAGGCTACTCTTGGAATTGGGGAGTCGTGCGAAGCATGCCAACCACGTCTCGACGCGAGTCACGAGTTTGTAGGCGTTGTGTACAATCTTCTTAAGTAACGCCTCAAATCTCACCCTTTTGTTTGTTTGAAAGGAATAGGAGATGGGGCGTTCTGTAGTAGAGCGTGACTCCTTCCTTCTCGCATTCACTATCAACAACTCTCCGCCCGTCATCTCTTTGGAAAGTCCACAATGTTCAACAAAACTAGTTCTACGAGCGTGGCTTCGACTGGCGATGCTATGGATATCTGCCCAAACGTGTCAAGGAAAGAGATCTCAACAGCTTCCTTGGACACACCATACGCCTCCATGGTTAAGACCACCGACAGGGCGCAATCTCAGGCTGAGGCTGCATTCCCCGATTACTTGAATTGCATTCTTTCTTTGGGACCAAATTTCCTGCCTGTGGATCGCGTCCGCTTCAGAAGGGGCATTCCCTCTGGAATCTCTGTCAAAACGGTCCATGCGGAGCGTTCGGGCGTTCCACTCGTTCTTGAGGGCGTCCACGAGGAAACCGAATGGGAAGCAGATGTCTTTTGCGTGCAGGAGCTACTGCGAGACCAAGGAGAAACTCGTACGTTGCAATGCTGAGGATTTCATCCCTTGCTGATAACAACGCTGTCTATCCTTCACAGCCGTGGAGACTCAACTGAATGAAACACACAAGATAACGACGGTAAGGGGGTGGCTCACCGAATGTGCATACTGCGCGACAGCTGGATGTCCCTTGCGACAAGGTTGAGTCCATTCTTCAACTATGCTTCTCGTATCCTCAATCTTCGTTACCAGACACTCTGAATATTACATGCCCATCCCGATGGCGCGAATGGTTGGGTTCGGATGCATTGCCGCAAGAGATTATTCCTTGCGGTCCCAATGATTTACTGGACTGTGTTCCTTCACAGGTAATTTCTAGCGTTCGTTGACCATTCCGGCTCAACCCTCATTATCTCGACTGTAGTTTCTATCTATAGCCCCAACATGCGACATCAGACTCGGCAATTCTGTTTCCTACATGGATCGTTCTGTCACAGTCCAACACCATCTCATGGTTTCCTCGGAACCCAGGGCTTCGATTATCTGGATCATCGTTCCGGTCTCCTCGGCGGATTCTCTCGTGCAGTATTGTCGATTGAAAGGCGAAGAGCTTGATCTCGGAAAAACTCGCGTATCAATCGAAGATTTGGTCCACGCGAAATGTCAGGTGTACGTTACGGAGCAAAATTTTGGCGACCTCCTCATTGTACCCCCGAACTGCTTCCATCAAGCACTCAATACTAACGGAATGACAATTAACATCGTGTGGTCGCGAATGACTATTGCTGGCATTAAATTCTCTCTTCATAGTCAACTGGATATTTACCGCCGGTAAGACGTTCTTAGAGCTTCATTCATGTTCTTGACATGCTTGTTAGAGTCTGTCGTCCTGAATCACTTCGGATCAAGATTGTGACCTTTTTTGCCACGGAAACATTGGCTGCAAAACTGTCTGCACCGGAGTCGGCCTTCTATATGGAGGAGAAGGACGAGTTGGCCCTCCTCTTGACCTTCTTGAAAGAAGTTCTAGTGGAGGAGTGGTCTTCTGAGTGTCAGAAAATGCCACGTGCTGGCCTTCCCTGGCTGTTCAACCATGGTGGTGGCGTAATTGGGCTGGCTGAATCAGCCAGCTGCCTTTATGACTGCTCCTTCTGTGGTGCTTCCATCTTTCAGTCTTTCTTCCAATGCACTGGTGGCTGTATCTTGCCCAGCAAAAGAAATACTCTTCCTCTTTTTTGTATTGGGTGTGTTGCAGAGGGGAGGTCCTGCAAATGTGGACAATTGATGCCGATGCAATGCTGCAACTTTCAAGATCTCTTAAATGTGTACAATCTGGCAGCTTCTTATCTGGACATTTTGCCAATCAATGATATGTAGGCACTGTTTTCAGTAATGTTGACTGATCTGATCTATATCCAAAGGGAATTATCTGTCTCCAATCACTTGCATATCTTTACTGCAGCATGCAAGTTGATCTCTGCACCCAGGACACTTCATAACAGTTGTGGGATAAAGCGCAAACATGCTCATCACGCTCCCAATGAATTGATTGCCTGCCCTAGTTGCCACTGGGGAGCTTGCTTCAACCATCTTTTGGACATTGGAGTTCATTCAGCAGAAGCTATCTTGAGGACAACAAACTTGACTGGTGGAATAGAGTGGCATAAATTCCATTGCAAACATGGAGATACATCCAGATTCAGATACCAGTTGGCAATGCAGACAAATCCTGCTTGTCTTGAAGATCATATTCCAGAAGTCAGGCTTTGCATAATAGGGTCAAGGTATCAGGGTTGCAAACAAGAGGCCAGGCATGAAGGATTGAAGCCAGGCTTTTATGATAATCCTGACCCTAAATTTGTGGGTCTTCTCTTTCCTATTTCTGCACAACTCACTGAGTTCTTTTTCATCAGTTCAAGACGTTCCCAATGAAAATTACCAAGCATTGAGGATGCTCCATAACCTACAATAAATATGTAAAACATGCAAAGATGCTTTGTACTACAAATATTCTGCTTAAATGTCATTTCTTGCAATCCAAAGCTTTCAACATGTTATTAAAATTAGGAATGTAGCAATGTTCCACTATGCAGTACCTTACTTATTATGTCTTCCATCACCAGCAAAGCTTGCCTTCTAATGTCCTGGAAAAAATGGTAACTGGACCCAGACTCCTCTCCATGGCCAAAAATTCATTTCTCTACAGGAAAAAGAGAAAATTAAACCATAAAAAGGACTGATTGAGCGCGAAATCGAACGTGGTTCGATTTCGCGCCTGATCATTTCGGAAACTAAAGCGCCTATCTCCGCCGATCGGATTTGATTCCGTGGGATCAAAGTCAAAATAATGATTGAGCCCAGGGTCGAACTGGGAACCTTCTGTGTACAGGAGGAGTTTGAATCAGCGTTCGAACTTCACTGTTAGACAGAAATCATAACCGCTAGACCACTCAACCGATGTCAATAAGGCCCGAAAGAAAAAATAAGACCCCCTAACGTCCTCAAACCCAAACTTTATCACACTATTTTACATACGTGTATTGCTATAATGATATGCACCTAAGACAGTTCTAGAGACGATGTGTTGATGTTCTCTATCGTAGTTGTGGCGGCACGAAAGGAATTCTAAATCGGAGCGAGCCTGTCGGAAATCGGAAGAAGCTTTTCGTTCCGCCGCGGCGCGTCGCCTGTGAGTACGGCCACTGGCAAGACTGTTTCAGTACGCGCGCTCTACCAAGGCCGATGGGGATTGGATAGCTTTTGGACCAGCTATGGCCTGTCATTAAACGTGGGAGATCTCATTGAGTACAATAAACTCTTTACTGCGATGCACCGCCTTCTAAGTTCTAAAACATTTTCGTTGCAGTTGCCCGCTCTTCCTCTGATAGTACCGTACATTCGACGAAAATAACCATGCTCTGAAATAGGCATTTCGCAGATGAATAAGCTCCGAGTCTGCTCTAGGGTATCAGCATCTACCCAGTTCGTTCACCTGCCGAATTATACTTGTGTTTTCGCTCACAGTGGATGATAGCTTCAAGACAAGGGTCATAGTTCATCATTGTCCCTATATGAATTACAAGTCGCTGATCTAGAATGGTTCCTTTCAGTATCACTCAAAGGGAGCGAGCGAGAGGATGGTCTTAATAAACGATTGTGATGTCTCTATCGAGTGAGGTGGAAAGGTCCATATCCTTCGGCTCACCCATGCTACATGTGCGTTTTCCCTGATCTTGCTGGGGTTTGCTCAATTTTCCCGATATATTCAAGTGGCACATGTACAGACCCTTCGACTCAAAAGAATATAACATCAACTACACAACGGTCTCGAGTGGAAATCGTTCACGATACCTCCTGGATGCCACGAATCCCTAAGGGTCCTCCATGCAGACTGTTCTCGTCCAGGAACGGGCCCATATTTTTTTCGTGCTCATGGCTTTGCACGGCTTCCAGACTCCCCGCCAAACGTCCTTCCCCGATCTGACATCCGCTGTGTCTCCTACGAACCCATAGCCTCCATCAAGCTTTTGTCCTTCAAGTTGAACCTCCTGATAAGCCAGCATCCGTGTGGCCTTTTGATACTTGCCTGTTCCCGCGGCGAATGCTTAGGCAGATGAAGACATGCAACTCTGGCAATAATATCTACTATTCGCTCTCCATATCCATTAGCGCAGAAAGGGGAAATTCCTGCGCACATACGGCGTTCAGTCACTTGAATCAATGGATGGGTGCAGATTATGTTTCCTCGACGCCTCGAACTCGACCGACCGATTGCAAGATATATCGGTATGCCGTTAGCCGTTTTATACGATACTCCTCGGCATGGATCCAGCATAGCCTTCAGTGCTGCGCCTTCTCGCCTTCTCGCTGGAATGTTCTTGCTTGCGATGTGATCCTGCTTGGCTGCCGTGCTAAGAGACGGGGTTGCTATCTTGTCGCACATTGGAAGCGTGCGCTGCTTTGAATGCGCCTTTCTCCTCATTGAAGGCTACGTGAGAATCCTTTGACGATTTAGTCCTCTTGCGTCTCGATCGTGACCGCTATACCGGCCTCCTCAAGCAGGAAAATTGTCTATTCGATTTCCGCAAGTGATCTCATCCTGTATGTCACGATCCGATGAGCGCAATCAGGGAACAGCGGGGTTGGTGCGCCATATTAATCACCTCGTTCAACCTGCTCCATCAGGACGGCTTTCTCGTGATTGCATGCCTGAGCTCGGAATGCGACCTGATGGATTCGTCGCCGATGGATTCGAACTAGAAACCCATCTACAACATCAAGTACACATGAGGCATGCAATGCTCGACTATTGCGTGAGTCCAGACGCGTTCTCCACGCAACTTCAATGTGAATCCTAATCTACGTACAGAATTATCATTAACTCGTCATCAATTGAGCAGAAGGGTGGATATAAGACATGGCGTGTACTATACAAAGGCATTTTCATGGTTCTGCACATGGGACACAAATACATCTAATTTTCTATTATTGCGATGCGGGGAACAGTACAAAAGCCCAGAAACAACATGGCGCAATCAATGCTGGGAAGCCAGGTGAGCCCGGGGTATCGAGTTCGGCAAATTTTTGGGGTGAGATAAACATCGGCCTTCAATCTCTTCAAATATGAGATGATACACATTGTGTAAATGATTGAGTAATTCTTGAAGGACCGAGTCAGTGAGAAGAACATCGGCACCAGCAAGAGTCTTACGCAAGTATGCATGAAAGATATGGAGCAGCCGGTGGAAAGGAATCTTGACAGTGTTGAATCTGGGTGCAAGCATTAGTCAGAGGGCGCGAGAATAGATGAAGGCTCACGAGGCACGATTGGTAGTCGATGTTGCCCCGTAGCTTGTCGAAGAGGGGTCAACAACTGGAACCGCGAGCAGATGACGCGCGATCTCCCAAGCCTAGCTATTGCATAGCCCAGACAGTCCTGTCTGACGGCAACCAGAGCTCTCAAGGCCGAATACCGTCACTCGACCCATCGCCCTCCCTTACGAGATGACGACAGAGTGAGAATATTTGCTGGTGGCTTTTAGCCCGTCCTTTCTTTCATCCGCCCCTACCGGGACGACGAGCTCACAACCATGACACAGCCTCCTGATGTACAGGAAGTGGTACAGAGTTGGGGAGATGCTAAGGGAAGTTAGTCTACGAGATGCTGAGCGAAAGACCGACATACCTGACCCTGTCCACGCCGGGATGGATCAGAGAAAACTTGAATGCACATCCTTAGTCTAGCTCTTGCTTAGCCCAGACAAACCGGTCTGACGACAATCAGAGCTCTCAAGGCCGAACACCTTCACCTGATCCATCGCCCTCTCTTGCGAGCTGACGACAGGGTGAAGACATTTGCTGGTGGCTTTTGGCCCGTCCTTTCTTTCATCCGCCCCTACCGGAACGACGAGCTCACGACTCAGACACCGCCCACTGGGTAGTAGGTAGTGACTGAGTGAGGAATGGAGTCAAGTTGCAGAACAAGTGGTTTTGGCGGACTCCGTAGTTTTGTAGACCGTCCAGACTTTTCATTGTCCGCTTGAAATCCAGAAACTGTAGGGGATCGAATATTCCATATTTTTGTGCATGAAGGGAATGAGGCCGGTGAGGTGTGAAGGCTCGATCCGAATTATTGCTAGTACTACAGCAGCGAAATGGAGGTTTGAGCGCTGAGAGCTGCGCTCAGGCGGAGGCAACTGATGCCGAAGTCCGACACGGTTTCCGCATCAAGGAGGACAAGCGCCGGCATCTTCTCCCCTTAGTTGCCATATAGTTCGCTGCAGTCTGAGTACAGTACCGGTACTATTGCTTGACGGAGTTCTCGAGCCGATACAAGCTCACCAAATTTTTTGAACAAATTTCATTCCCCCCTTTGGCTCAAAATAGCTGAACGTTGCCATTTCAAGCTACATCGGTGAAGAAACTGGAAGATGCAGTGACAACTTGAAGAGCTGGTGTCGGATCACAAAGACAAGATAAATGCTGTGAAATACATGTTTTATCTATCAAAAACTGATTAGGAAAGCGAACGAATTGTATCCCGCAAGATTTACAGAATGGAGAGATAGGATTGTTCGGGGATTTGACTATCGCGTTCAATGCCGCGATTGAACATGTAGGCACTTCACTTCGATATGACGGACGTGTAACGACGAGACTAAGGATCAAACGGAGCAAAAATGTCAAGACCACGCGTATTTCCTGCAAATGTGGTAAAAGGGAACGCTTTTGATCTCCAAGCCAGTCCCTGCTCTCAAATCCGCCGGTAGAAAAGAAGTCCTCCTTGACGATGGATTCCATTGAATCTTTCCATATTCCTCAGTTGAGGGCGGAGGCAAATAAGCCAAAGCAACTCTCCCGTCCAGGCTCACGTCCGTCGCGATCTATTAGCGATTCAGTGGTGTAGAGAATACTGCAAAATCTTAATACTTTACGAAAGAGATAAGATGGCATCTCGAAACATTTGGAGGACTTGGATATAATATGTATCTTCACCGAGTGAAAGTTTCATGGAATTGCGCTGAAAATGGCACCGAAACATATAAGCAGACAACTGCTTGATGACACCCGCATACTTCCGAGACGTCTCGTCATAGAAAATCACAGGCTCATCGTCCTTTTCCGCTAGATGAAATAGGAGGGAAGTTTTGCGAGTTCCGAGCCAATCTTTGCTGGGAATTCCGCCGGGAGGGAAAAGCCTGTTTCGTATCAGGCACTCGGCTGATCGTTCCCAGACGCCGTAGTCGTCACTTGAGGATGAGGGAGGATCAACCCAGAATGCGGTGAAGATCAGAACCCAGACGAAAGATTCCAGATCGTCAAAAACAACAGAACCATCTCTAAATCCAAGTGTCAATAACAATGCAGACATGAATATCGCCGTTCCCTATCTAAAGATTAGTGATCTAGTCATTGTATCTCATAGCGAATGCTTACTCTCTCCTTCCCCGGAAGAGCTTTGTGTGCAGTCGCGTATGGCTCTATCTCAGATACCAAGATCGAGTTATCAAAATCGGTTAAAATCGCCGTGCACTGATCCTGGAGTGGTGGAACGGGAAGACTATTGAGTCATTCAGTAGCAATACTGGTTGATCCAATGCAATGATCTCATACAAGGGTACATCATCGGCAAATGCCGGTATATCAGGTAGGTGTGGTGGGTTGTCGAAGAGGTCCTTAAATAAAAAAAAGTAACGATTTTTTTTATTGTTTCTACAGGCTTATAACTAGGTTTGGTACTATACATGAGTAAACCCAACATGTTTTGCACCCTCTCGTCATGTCCACAGTCGTAGGCACCTGGATTGACCCTTATTTGGATCTTCGGGTGGCGATAAACTAAGGTCCGGGATCGGCAGCATTTCAATCTCCGACGGCATCTCGGAGATAAAGGACATAAGCGGACATAACCGTCGGCTACGGAGATAAGGCCTCCTAAATAGGCTAATCGCCGAGG